TCCCTCTGACCCTCCTCCCTCTCATGTTCTCTGTCTCTCATTCTCTCTCTCGCAAATAAATAAAATCTTAAAAAAAAAAAAAAAAAAGTTTGCTTAAGTAAATCTGGTAGCAAAACATGTGTAATGGTAGATACCATAGATTCTCTTCCACTCTATCTCCAGATCAATTATGCTGAAAATATTCACGAGTAATAGACTTAATATTATGAACAAGAGAATACAAAAATGTGTCCAGATATATTCATTAATTCAGAAATGAAATTTAATGATTTTCAATTTTGTTTTTACTAGTACAAACTAGGTTAACAGTCCATACTTCTGAACAATCTTACACATGCCATATTTTTAGTAAGAGCTCAAAGAAAATGTCTGATTAGGTGTAGATTACACTGTATTTTAGCCCACCCCTAAAGTCAGCACAAATACAAAATCACAGTCATGTTTACAAGGTAAAAATCGTACAACAGCTCTGTATACTAAAATATAATCAACAAAGCAGTTTCTGAGAATCAAAACATAGGCTGGCAGATTTGCTTTTATGATTTTAATATTTTTTTCTAATATGACAATGCCACTAAGTTCAGTTCACCATTCTTTCATTATCTTTTCATTTCCTGTATGCATTTCTAGCTAGCAAATTCATTTTAATGGCAGTAAGTTGGGAATTTAGTCCAAAGAGCAAAGATTCATTTTGATGAGTTATGTGATCACAAAACATGCAGTGGTGAACTTTCAATTCATTAACTGTTTCTATTGTTAAAGATTATTATTGTAGTTGGCATAATAATCATGAGATCTTTTTTTCCCACTTAGTTAAAGCATTTCATACCATTAGATTGACTATGGCGTGCAAGAGGTCCAGTAACTGCCAAGGGTATGGCAACCACCTCACCAACAAAATCAGTCCATACATTTAATGGCGGCCTGAACTAAGCTTCAACACAAAACTTAACACACTTCTAGAAAATGTGTCTCAGCAGAGCCTCTTACACCTTCCTCACTAGCTAACCAGACATGGGTCATCATTGCTTGGTTTGACTTCTCCTTCTAGCAGCAAATTCATCACAACCTTTGTCAAATAGCTGCATGTTCCTCTTTTTCCCAGTGGGGGAGTGTTGTAAAAGGAAGTCATGTCATCCTACAAAGGAAAACAGTAAGCAAGTCGCTTGATTTTTGTTTGTAAAGAGTTGACAGGTAAAATCAGTGTCAGCCTAGGGGGAAAAATAAATTCACAGAAATATTTCCTCATGGAAAATAGAACCTTCTTGAGGTTTTCTTTCATTTTCCTAAGGCATCTTCTCAGCATATAAAACAAAGACAGACACTTTTAATATTCTCCCCTCTTTGCTGATAATTTTTATTTACTTAGGGAACCTTTTTACAGATGAGCATAAAATATTAAACAGAGAACCTGGAAGGGACTATATTAGGTAGTACACACAGCACCAACGTAGCCTGTTACGCATTCCCATCTTCCCCAGAATTTAATTTTATAGCCTTCAGGAATCTATGGCTCCTCTCTGGTAAAACACATTTTAACTGCTAACTATATAAAGGGAATTTATGTCTTCCCAGTTTTCTTTTTAGTCAGAGCTTCATAGCTGAACTGACTAGTAATTAACTAAAAAGTACCACTAATTTCTCGAATAACTCAGACTTCTCCCTGCCCCACAAATACTCCATTTTGCACTCTATAAATCTGTTTTGTAAGTTAAATGATAAGAGATTAGGGATATTTTGAAGAGTTGAGACAATGAAAAAATTCTACAAAAAGCTCTTTTCTCTACTTACTTGTTTTTCAACTTCCTTTAGTCGACTCTCATCTTTTTGAAATTCATGAAATGCTTCTTTCACCAGTTTGTCTAGATCTACTTTGTCTTGAAATTCTAGCTCAGGATTTCTTTCCAGTACAATGGATACAACCATTAGTAACTAGAAGAGACAGATGTTGAAAGCCAATTATATGAACCATAAAAGCAACACAGTCTGGACATGTTTTCATTCTTTACTCAGACTGACGGATGACCCTTGAATTCCACAGTGTGTTCTGTACAATGATTGACTTTAGGATCATTGTGAATGGACTCTTTTTTTTTTTTTTTTCTTTAAAGATTTTATTTATTTATTTATTTGAGAGGGAGAGAATGAGAGAGAGCACATGAGAGGGGTTAGGGTCAGAGGGAGAAACAGACTCCCTGCCGAG